CTCAAACAAATTGTACGTGATATCACTAAGCGGTGGACCAATCACAACAGAGCTGGCAAGCCAACCAATCAGAGCAGACTGGGCTCTGGTTTCAGACAGAGGGTGAGAAGAGGTGCTGCAGCACAGGAAGTATGAGAAAAAGAGCTTTTTGAACATTAAAGCATGGAGACATGTCACAGAAGAGACACAACATAGAAATATGAACCAGACAATTAGCACAATAGGGCCCCTTTAATCTGATGTGGCATTAGGTACGTGAACAGTTAGATACAACTACAGTAACTCTGGATTAAACGCATCCAATATTTGGAATCCCTTATACATAGTTAGGAAATGTTAATCTAATGCAGTAATGACAAGTTCAACTCCACTAAAATACTTGCTATAAATAGTAGCTGCTAAAAACAGAGTCAAAGATTACTGTGACGGGAATAAATGGATGAAAAGTACATTTGGGAGAGAGAGGGGAGAGAAACAGAGCAAGACAGTGAAATAGGAAAAAGAGATTATGGAGACGTGCTGACACCAAGCACGTCTCCATTGCATTCAGCTGTTCACATCTTTAAATGATTGTGTGTACTGCTCAGGAAGGGCTTTACATTAGACCACACACTTAGAAGGGTCCTGGCCAGTATGATGGCATCCAATCTGAATCATTTCACAGATAATTTGGTTGTCACAGCCAGCCAATAGTAATAACAACATTAGAGAGGGAATAAGAAAGGAGGAGAGGAGCGGAGCGAATCACCCAAGGCCAATCGCTGTGTCTAAGCCAGAGCGGTGTTTGTGGAAAAGAAGACCTTTTTATTCGCTGGCTGAAAAAAAGGGGATTCTTTTTTTTATATTTCCACTTTTAAACCACTTCCTTTTCCCCTTCTTTGGCGTGACGCTCTAAAAGTGAAGCGTTTAGCAGGGCTGCAGGATGAAATGCGTTTTTACATAGGCGTTGGTGGCAGTGAGGTACGCTGCTGTAATCGCAATAATACACTTAGTTTGCAAACGTGCATTCTATCGGCTTTCATCCCCTCCGAAATAACCAATCCGAGGTGTGCGTGTCCCCTATACATTATTCAGATGCTCCGAGCCACCCACATCTGTTCATTTCTCCGGACGACACACTCTCTCCTCTGATAAACAATAATTACTCTGCTGCCAAGAACACACACACTCTCCCGCTGAGAGCTCTGGCACCCATGTCAACCTCCAACAATGGATTCCCATGGGACGCAGTGTGTTAGAAGCTCTGTTTGTACACAAATCATAATCACGTGTGCGGCTGCACTCAAAGTCACAGATGCACGCAACTCTGCACACACACACATCATTATGACAAATATGGCTGCATACATTCAAGACACCTGTACGTGCATTCTATCAAAAGATGTCATGATGGCTCATAAACGGCTCCTTGTGACTGCAGGATGGATACACAGAAACATTTAGCATGGGTGGGCGCTAGCATGATTATGATTATGTGTTGACTTTCTGTGTGTCCTGTTTGTATGTGCATTGGAGACAAAAGGGATAGGAGTATGTATTTGCATTATTCCTCTGTCCTCGTGTGTGTGGATGAGTGTCTGTTTCTGTGTGTGGAAGAGAGAAGGAGGTGAAGAGAGAAGGAGGCAGTCTTCTCTGTAGTGTCAGCCTTTGATCACTGTGTGTGTGTGTGTGTGTGTGTGTGTGTGTGTGTGTGTGTGTGTGTGTGTGTGTGTGTGTGTGTGTGTGTGTGTGTGTGTGTGTGTGTGTGTGTGTGTGTGTGTGTGTGTGTGTGTGTGTGTGTGTGTGTGTGTGTGTGTGTGTGTGTGTGTGTGTGTGTGTGTGTGTGTGTGTGTGTGTGTGTGTGTGTGTGTGTTAGAGCCAACCTCTGGTGTCTTGGAGGCAGATGAAACACTGTGCCTCTATCCGGGACTCACAGAACACCCACTATCCTCCTCTCCTTTCTCGCTCCCGCTCCCTTTACCCCCCTCTAACCACCATTCCTTATCACAGCCATTTTAAAGGCTATTCATGTCGAGCCGCGCTTTCATCTTGCATTGCGCCCCTTTAACCAGCTCCTCTGTTTTTTTCCTTTCCCGAGCCTTTTATCAGATTATTGAGGAAGAGGAGGACGGGTGAAGTGGCCCGCTGTTGTACACTGACTCACAGTCAGATGGACGCTGCGTGAAGGTGCAGGAAAGACGGCAGCTTGACTGTAACAAGATAACGTTCAGATGTAGGGTGTCTTCCAACACTGTGTAACCTAGATCAGCCTTTCAAGCCTCACCAGCACTATTTTTACAAGAATGCTAACAAGAAATTGTCTCAAAGTGTATTTTCCTTAGTACATTTTTCGACTCACTCCTATTTTCTGTGCGAGAAACTCCGCTGACATTCAGTAGAAACATTGCTTTGTGTTGCATTAATTAGCTTAATTAAGGACCTCATGAGCATAATTGGTTATGTTTAATATATCATGGTGATTACAGTAGGGCATTAGGCGGCTTATTCGCTCGTGTTTGTGCCCGCTTTAATTAATGCACTCTAACACAGCGGCTTGTTTGTGGTGTGTTTAAAGGGCAGCACAAAATGCGGTTACTGCCTGTGCTTCGATCCCCCTTTTTTCGGATCATCTGAGGTTATTATTATCGATTAGTTTTGGTTATATTTCAAGGATGAAGAGAGAAATGATCAAGTGATATTGTAACTTCAGTAAGTTAGCCTTTACTATGAGTATGGATATTACACATACACTTTTATTTACAGTACAAATATACATGTGTAAAAGGGTGATAAGGCAGACTTGGTTCAATAAAGTATTATTCATAATTTCCCTTATTATTATTATGCCAGAATTGTATGAATCAGCCGTTGTGAATGTTATTGTTTTGCATTATAGTTTTGAAGCAAATGCACTTCCTAATATTTCTATAATATTCAGAGAAAGTGAAAATGCACCTTATTCATATCCGTAGGAGTAGGCTCATGTTCAAATAAGCGTAGTTAAGTGAGGAATGCCTGTGACTTTATATTGAGTCTAATTAGAAATGTTGATAAAGGATCTTGATAACACTAATTAGCCACCCAGAGCAGACAACACACTGCGTGCTTGTCTCCTAGCATCTGGTCTGAGTGTTTAACCTCTACTGTACAGGCCTAATGGATGACCTTTCCAGTTCACCTGCCTTTAATAAAGCCCTAATTAAGAGAGCCATGAGGACCTGAGCGGCTACCAGTTAATGGGTGCTTAAATAAAAAAGATTTAGGTGTTTGGTGGAAGATACTCAGAGGTACTCACTAGAGGCAAATGTCAGCAAACAGAAGAGGTTAGCTGTTATTGCAGTAATCTGATAAATGAATGATAGTCTAGAGGGAAACGTTGAGGAATATTTAGTACTTTTTCATTTCAACAAGGAACATTTTGCAAAAAGGATTCCATGTTAAAAACACACAACTATAATTGTTGCATTTAAGAAATTAATGAGACTCAGAATACCTTTATTCTTCCCACAGAGGGGTAATTCACATTGGTACAGCTAAGAACCAAAGATAGCTTAGTATTAAGAAGCATGCATACAAATATTAAAGATAAAACTATAAATTACACAATTTACAAAATACACATCCAGAACCAGTAAGAGTTTTGTCATTGGCGGCCAGCAAGGCCTTCTCTGCCTAAACTCTATCCGGATTACTGACTAACCTTTTAATATATATTTTCACTGACATGTATTCAATTATTTCCAATAGAATAGAATAGTATATTCTCTTCATTTCATAGCATTTTCTCTGTGTTGCGCTCGGTTGCGCTGCGTCCAGTAATGGTTGTTAATGTTGGTGTTGGGGCTTCTTTTATCTAATCATATTTGAGTCAGAATGTGTTGCTGGGTCAAATGAATCTGCCGGAGACATTCAGAATCAGCAGTGCGTGCGCTTGTACTTTAAAAAAGTGGCAATGAAACTGTTGCATTGACCAATCAGATTTTGAGTTGGTGACACCGGGGCCATCTAGCAGGCCTACGATGACGTCAGCCTTTTCACGGTTCACTTTTCATTAGCAAACACTAGCGTGTGTTGCGGTAGCTACCGGCAACGAACGGCTGGCACACAGCATCTGTAGCCTCCTTAGCTACCTGCACAAGGTAAAGATATTTGTGTTTAGATTTTAGAGTGTTTTTTTCAGCCCACAATCGCTGACAGCGGAAGACAAATTGATTTGGTCGAAGCTAGCAAGCATGTTGTAGCCGGGGAAAGGGTTTGTCCGCCCACCACTAGCTACGAGCGGTACCATTGGCTCACAGCCTCGGAGGAGCACTGCAAACTGTATAGAGTGCCGAAGTCCCTTCCTTTCCGGTGGACCTCCATGGGACCTTATTTCAGAAAAAGTATGTATTGAGGTCAATGGAGAGAGAAAGATTATCTTTCGATCCCGTTTGAATTGTGCCACGAATTACACATATGATGTTTGTCAATTTAAAAGATGATTTTGCAAGTCAAAAAAAAAAAAATGTGTCGTAAAACTGTGAAGTAACACTTTTTTTGGTGAAACCGCTCAATGACCTACATCTCCCGTCTCGCACCACACACCAAGACGGCCGTCACGTTGGCACATTTCACTTATTTCTTTCAGAATGAGGCGAAAAGTATTAAAAGAGGTGAAAATCACTACAAGTCTGGGCATGTTGAGAGCTGTACATACACACAAGGGGAGTTAGTCGGTTCGTAAGAGCCAACATGCGGGACCGGGATCCTGGGATTTGTAGTCTTTCTAGTTGCGTATTTTTCATAGTCTTATATTTCAACAGTTTTACGACAAACTGTGACTTTTTTGACATGGAAATTATTTGTTAAGATTGACAAACATCATATGTGTAATTTGTTGTACAATTCAAACGGGATCGAGAGATACGTTTTCTCTCTCCATTGACTTCAATACATACTTTTTCCGAAATAAGGTCCCATGGAGGTCCCCGGAAGGGGAGGGACTTCGCCTCTCTATTGCTGGAAATGCCTGATATTGTCAACTAATGGACTTGGTGTTTGGAGCCTTATAAGTTTGCAAACTTGAGTCTAACCAAGGCAGCGGCGAGACACAAAAGCACTGCTGGAAACTTACAAGCAGCGGTGCCTTTGGAAACTTTTGGGGGAGCCTCAATGGCGTTAGCACAGGACATATTATTGGAACTGAAAACTCAAATAGTACAAATAATCAAACGTATTGGTGAGTAAAGGCTCTAATGACTTTTCTTTACATGTTTTTATATGTTCTTGTCATTTTATTAAGTAAATATTGGAGCTTCTGCTGGAGTTGATGTGTGTGGTGTGGCTGCAGTGAAAGGAGACTTGTTACATTGTGTTATTTGGGTTTCTTGCTTTGTAATGGCGGTCATTTTCGCTACATTAGATACCTGTCGGCTGTCAGTGATGCAAAGCCCTGTTATACTGCGTGTCTGTACAATATTAATGGTTTCTATAGCCGTGATCATAATGATGGTCTTAAGAGGTGGATTAATTCAGGTGGGACACTACTGAAGGCCTAGGTGTGAAAAGCACTGCCCGCTACTGAGTTTAAAAAAATATAAAACTCGAAAAGATCAGGAAAATATTTAAAGGGCCAATGTCATGGCCATTTCCACTGATCATAATTACATTGTTGAGGTATACTAAAATAGATTTATACTGTGCAATTTTCCAAACTCACATTGGTTTCGCATACAGCATCTCTGTCAAGCATGTGTATTCAGCAGTATTCACTTTCTCCACTAAACGACTCGTTGGAGCTCTTGCCCCCCCCTCCCTGTGAGCCTAGTGTGCTCCGATTGGTCAGCTCGGCCACTCGTTCTGATTAGTCAACCACCAGAGAGGCTGCGCCCATGTCTAACAGTGCTTTTCCCGGCTGCTCTCAGCGTAACATCAGTCTTATCATGGCGTCGGCACAGCCGTATATTTTATATACATATATATTTGTAACTGTTGTTATAGAAGAGTGTGACGGCCCCAGGGCCTTTGTCTTACGATGGGGTGGAGCTGAAGAGGCTAATCAGCACGATCACGGACACCTCCGGACACTACGACCCCAGTCTCTCTCCAAAGCGGCTGCAGGAAGACTAACTCTGCGATCCTCTCAACCACCTATCTTTGCATTTACCACAATAAATGTGCCGTGGTTTTGTAAACTCGTGTATGTCTCCTTGTCTTTCCGTTGTGGCCTACGAGCTACTCTCATAACAAAGAGTAAGTTATTTTTACCCGTTATAAACTACTACTGTTTGATGAGAAATCAAATCATGGTTTGCTATATATGAATTCAGGGAAGAAAGGATAGGCCTACTAAGTATTTCCATTAAACTTTATTTTTAGAAATGTACAAAATGAACATAAATATACATATATACACGGTATATCATCCATTCCTCCTCCTCTTGCCTGCGCACAGCCGGTGCGGTGCGGTGCCTTTTAGCACAACGCCTCAGTAGTAGTAGAAGTCCCGTCCCCGTCATGGATTGTCCGCCAGGATCTGGCTGGACGAAATCAAATGCAAATCACAAAATATTAGAGAAACTTAGTTGTTTTAGATTCGTTAGTAGTAGTTGTGTAATGAACAGCTTGCCTGCTAATATGCTAACCTAGCTTTGTTTACCTTGGTAGCTAACACGATATGAACGTTAGCTTGGAGGAAAGGCAACTATAATGCAGTGTAATAAAACTACTATGAACAAAAGCTAGTGGTTCATATTAGGCTAGCAATAACGTGTTTATAATTGCAATCGTATACGGGTATTCTGCTACCATACAATGTAACTTGCATGAATACATTGTTTTGCGCTAGCATACAGCTAGCCTCGTTAGCTACATGCAGTATATGTACGGTCACAATGTACGGTAAACCGGAGTATACTGTATGAGTATTCCGTGTGTGTGACTGCAGACATTCTCCTGCCATGACAAACATGTAAGGCCATCTGCTGACATTGTAGTTGATATATTTAAACGCTAGCAACGTAGCATCACAAAAATGTTTTTCTGACCAAAACTAGCTCAAGCTCCGTGTGTTAGATCGCTACGCCAGCTATAATGTAATTACGTTTCGCGACTGACCGGCAAATCACCCGCAGTATACTGTCAATAGGTATTTTGTGTGTGAATGCAGACATTCTCCTGCTATGAGATACATGTATGCAAGGCCATCTGCTGATATTAGAGTTGATATATGGAAACTCTAGCAACTTAGTTAGCACAGTTAGCACTGTGTCAATGGCTTAGCAGTCCAACACAGTTTACACATTTAAACAGTCTTGTTTGATAAATACACAAATAACAATGCAAACTTACAGGTTGTATACCCAGATCTTCCCCTGCTCCAAACGGTCCAAACAAGCTGTGCATATCCGGCCTCAAACTGGGCAATGTTTTTGGAAGCTTTCGTCTGTGAAATGCCGGTTCTTCGAACCTCTGGAGGAGGAACACGCCGCTGCTGGTGTGGCCATAGCTCTTCGGGATTGGTCCATTTCGTTCCGGGTACCGCATGACATCAGGCGGTACCCGGAACTAAATGGAAGACTCAAATGGGCAGTGACGTATCTCCAACGAGGCGTTTTGGGGAGGTATTTTCTGTGTTAGAGTTTTACTCGCTACAGGGTGTACTTTGAGGGTTTTGACTCTGCACACCGTTTACATGCATAAAAACCTTCATAACACACAAGGGGACGGGTAATAACCGGAAAAGCATGACATGGGAGCTTTAACAAATAAAAAACGGGATAATATTTCTTTATGTACAAAAGTTTGACAGTAGGTGTAGTACAAGTCCATGTAACATTAGAAGATGTAAAGTATATGTGTCCTATTGAACATGGACATATTGAATCTCTCAATGATACTGTACTGTATTCAGGCATACTTTATTTTTTTCATCTCAGAAACCTTTAAACACATTATTTTAAGCAACTGAGTTAAAACAGGGGTAAATAATACATTTATTGGGGACTATTTTCAGTTGCGGATTAATACACATTTCTGTCCTCTAGAGAGAATTTCTATTTATGTATTTGGGATTGAATCAAATCAAATTAAAGTGTCCATGTTCATATTAATGAATGAAAATATCACTCAATGTTTTGGGATGTGTTGAAATCACACAAATAGAATGCTACAAGTCTTATCCTTTACCAGGGAATTTAAACATTAAACCGTTTATTCTTAAATTATCATCCACGTTTAAAGGGGACCTATCATGCAAAATGTACTTTTTGATGTCTTTTATACATAAATATGTGTCCCCGGTGTGTCGGGGAACTCACGCAGCGTCAGAAAATAAAACCCTCTCTCTTTTCCTCCGTACCCAAATCTCTAAAAACGGGGCTACAACGGAACTGATCCAGATTTGTGTCCGATATGACGTAATATCGGAAATAATCCATGATATGGCGTTTCATCACGGCAGTATTTAGTTTAGACGGTAGCTGCCGGGTCCCGCATGAGCTCCGCCCCCTCCTTTTTTTTAATATAAAGCTTTATACCCAAAATCAGCACTTTTGAAACAGGAAGTCAAATAGAGGGATATGAGGCATGGCTAGAATGGGTGATCTGTTTGGTATTTTGAGCAAAACACTTCATAGACATGTTTTTTATATATTTGTATATATCTGAGACCTATTGCCTAAAAATAGCATGATAGGTGCACTTTAAAGGATATCACATCATATTTTGGCTTCCAAGACATTTTTCCTTGAAGGCATTTTAAAATGTCACAGTAGGAAAATGAATGACGTCTGATTTTCATTTAGCTCCTCCTGTTTTCCTGGTGCTGTGCATGCTGCTCACTTTCACACTGTACCATGGCATGCTGGGAAACTTAAGTAACATCTGTGCTTTCTCTCCTGTGACAAGTCAGAAAGTCTGCTGCCTAAAAAAAGCCAAAGGAAAATCATTTAACTTAAAAAGAGTTATGTTTTCTCATGCCGAAAATGGTTGGTTAAGAAAAGTTATTTTACTCCCAAAAAAAGAAGAAAGACATTGCACAATCCTGATTCCAAGCATGATGTGTCATCACTTGTAATCCAGTTATGGGTGTGGTTCAGATTGGGGTCACCTATATTTCTGGGGCTGCTGTACTGTAAGTGGCTTTGTGTCCCTGCTCAATGCCATTAGAGTAAATGTCATTAAGAGAGGAGCTGAGATAGCAAGTTCGTCTCTCGCTCACTTCGCTTTCTCTGTCTGTTGCTCCTGGTGTTGGTGAATGACGATGTCGTGCACACGCTCAAACATATATGCAAATCCCTCACAGTCAGAAGATGATCTACAGGCCAAAGTAGGGAACATTTGCCAGACAGGTACTAAATGTCCTGATACTAACGTCCTCTTGTCTCTCTCTTTATCCTCCTCCCATCCCTTTTCCCTCTTGAATATCCTCTCCCAGGCTTCCTCAGTACCGGCGATCAGTCTGCTAAGGGGAACTACGGCCTGCTGGACCAGATTCAGGCCCTGCGCTGGCTCAACGAGAACATCGGTCACTTCGGAGGAGACCCAGAGAGGATCACCATCTTCGGCTCCGGAGCTGGGGCGTCCTGCGTCAACCTCCTCATCCTCTCGCACCACTCGGAAGGTAATTAGAGACTCACTGTGTTTGTGTCTCACCATTTGTTTTAATAGAAAAACTACCGTGCAGCATCTTCCCACTGGTCACAAAATGGTGATGTTAATAGTCTCGGTCCAACCCTGAAAATGACTGTTTTTGACAAACGGATTGTGGTTGGTTGCATGAATTCCACCTGATCCATTAATGTTAAAGCTGAGATCATTCCTCGCTAATCCCCGCACATCCACAATGCATATTTACTGGGAAAAGATGGCAATGCACACCTTCATGTCCCATTCGACCTTGAAAACTCTAAACAAAAAATGTGTGATCCTGTATCTGTCGCTGGAATGACTCGCTCTCTATTTAAACATCATTGTTCCTTTATACAGCCTTTGGCTATTTCATGACCCGTGTAAATGTAATCATAGCAGCAAGGTCCTGTCCCATGTGGTCAGATGGAGACTCTGCGAGCAGCATCTAGCGCAGAAATCGTTAAGTCCTGTGATGTTCGCTTGACACCTCTATCCTCGGAGGAAAACACTGCACATCCTTTGAACTGAAGAATTTGAGCAGTCATGTGTCTAATGAGCGAGTCCAGGTTTGATTCAGGTTGTGTCGTACATGTCTGCGGAGGATGAATCCCCAACATTTCCCCACATTACCTGAGTGTGCGAGCGCTCCTGGCTCTGTTAACGGTCCACCGCTCTGCAGCAGAGAGGCTCTACCTCCGTCGAAAAAAACCTACATCCGTCTGACCTCGTGCTCCCCATTACCAACAGCACACCCCGAGGGCTAAGTGTTAACATTGCACCACCAAAAGAGAGACGCCTACGGACCGATCCACTTTGATCTGAATTGAGATCAGTGTGGCTGCCGACCCGCAGCCAAGCGGTCACGCACTCGGCGCCTTTGATCATGCCGTTCTTGAAGCTGCCCTCCTCAAATCGTAACTCGACACTGCTCAAGGACTCTCTCTCAATATCGCTCTCCTCTATTCATTCACAAACCGCGTAGGACAGACACAGGGAAGAAACGGTGGATAGAGAGATTCAAGAGAGCGTGTTCACAAAACCTCACATCTGTTTCGATCCTCTCTGTGTTTGTGTGTATCTCAGTGTGTTTGTTTGTGTCTAAAGCACCAAGCAGACGCCTCTAACTTTGACTCATTCTGTCTGTGTAAATCTGCTGTAATAACAAATGTGTGTTGTCAAAGCTCCAGTGAGCATCTGTGCTGCTGTGTCACTGTGTCCATTTATCCCAGCCTCTATAATTACACTGATGTCTGCCTACCCTTCATATTAACCCAGCACACCCAACCTTTCTCCACTCATCGGCAGGTGACCCAATTAGCCGTGAGCAACCTCCCATAACCCCAATTATTTGATATTGATATCATAACAGGGGCCATGCATAGTGTGTGGAAAGTTTTAACTTATTTCTGTGATGTCTATAATACAATATAAACATACTTATACTGCATTATATTATGCGTTTTACTTTCAAGTTATAAGCACTTGTAAATATCTATATCTCAGGATAGTTAATGGATAAGCCATTATAAAAAGATGATGTTTTATGGGAATTATTATATGCTTTAATTCCTGCAAAAACAAATGTCATGGACTGACTAGCAATTGAAGTCATTCAAATGTTCAATGTTTCATTATAAAGCATTTTGTATATGTATGAGCAACCCAGTCTCACGGCATTTCGTGTTATAGTCACGAAATTAATTTAATCTAGTGATTCGTGTTCACCAACACGATTTTTGCATTTGTTTCGTGTCACACAGAACTATTTTAAAAGCAATGTATTTCTATTGGTAGTATGTTTCGTGCCTGAAATCTGTATTTTTTTTTATCTGTTTTTCCTTCTAATTTGTTATTATTTACATTGCTTTTAAAATTGTTCTGTGTGACACGAAAAAAATGGCGAAATCGTGTTGGTGAACACGAATCAATAGATTAATTTCGTGACTATAACACGAAATGCCGTGAGACTGTGTTGGTATGAGTGCTTATAACTTTGTAAACAGTGCTATAAGCAGTAAATAATTTCAAGTGTGTTTCTAATGCATTCGAGAAAATATCACATTCTTTCCTTAAGTTTCTGTGTTTAGGAATCAAAATATGGAAAGAGCAAATATTACAAAATGAACTCCAGTGTCGAGAATTAGCATTAACATTAGCATGACTGCTAACCATGCCTTTTTGAGGTTATTAGCATCTCTAGAAAGCAACATTTAAACCACCTTGTATATGATATTTTGTAACTCGAAATGACATATGAAGTCAAATCATATCTCAGAAGCATACTATATTATGCCACTCTTGTCTTTGCATAAAGTATGAAGCCTGAGTCAGGATGGTTAGTCTACAGTAGCTTAACATAAAGGCAGAGAAGAAAGGTAAACAGCTAGCTTGGCTTTACACTAAAATACACATCTCTAGCTTAGTTAGCTCCCAGCTCCAGGTCTGTTCTTAACATACAGTACAGACACAAGTGTTGAATACATTTCATTTAACTCTAGAAAAGTAAATGAAGTTTATTGATGATGTAGTATTTCTCAGATGGCCTATGTGCACTGGCTATCTTGCTTGCTTGTTTATTTTCAGATAGCAACCAGCCATTGACACTCATTGTAGCTCAATTATATGTTTTCAGGGACCCCCCCCCCCCCCCCCCTTTTAGCAGCAGACAGACCCTAACGGTTGGGAAAGCCTGTATTAACCCCTTGTCTCCTGTTGCTGACAACCAACCCCCCTCACCCCGCCACCAGTCCATTCTCATGCCTCCGCTTTTGTCATCAACCCATCGTCATCATCCGCATCTAACACCGGCCCTCTAGACGCCGCCTGTCTGTCATTCTCCCCCCCTCTCCCCCGCCAGGGACACCAGGTAAGGAGTCTGTCATCCCCACCCTTTAGGGACACCAATCATGTCACCTACACGCCGTCGCTAATCAAAAACGACAGCAGGCACGCACAGGATGGATGGCAGGAGGGAAGTGGTAGACAGGACGGAGAGAGGGGTTATAAGTGATGCTGATATGATAAAGGGGGGAGACATCACCCAAAGTATCCTGTATTTAAGGAAAGAGGTGGAGACATTATAACATTGAGGAAGAATATAGTAGCCAAATCTAGCTAAGTACTGAGCGGCGAAGGCTCTCTTATTTTGAATTAAATAATAGCGTCTTTTTCGGTGCAGATGTGTAGGTATAGCTGTTTCCGAGCTGCTTCTTACTATAATTGATTTCCAGGGAAAGAAGGCTCTGCAGCTCTGCTTAATAATTAACTGACCAATCTTCAGCCCAAGAGAGGGAAGAGAAAGAAAAAGGGGAGCGCGAGAGGAAAGGAGTGAGTCAGGCGGCCTCTTAACGAGCCACTTGAGTGGTTCAAACAGCACCGGAAAGGCAGAACCATGGAGACGGAGAGAGACAAAGAGGAAGAGGGGGAGGGAGGAACACAGCCAGGGAGAGTGAGAGAAGAAACAGCTAGCACGAAAAAGAGGAAAATGGCTCTCTTGACGTCTCAGATGAGCTTATTCCCAGTCTGGCTTCTTTTGTAGCCCTGTAGCATGCTCTATTCGAGGTGCTTTGGGTCTGTAGTGACGTAATGCCTCAGCCAACTGTATTCCAGTGAGAATAATCAGATGGAAAAGTACAATTGGAAGTTTTTTTTTATAAAGGGTAATTCTTTTAGTGGAAAAAGAGATGTGCGATATTCATATCAAGAAGTCTCTCTTAACAGAGAACGTTTCCATCCTGCCGGCAAAAAACAAACGTGGTGGGAAAAGCACATGACATTTAGAGAGATCACCCAATATATTTAAACGATTTTGGTCATATTCACCCCTTCATCCAGTATTATAATCCTCTTTTTCTTTCATATCCTCAGGTCTGTTCCACAGGGCCATAGCTCAGAGTGGAACAGCCATCTCCAGCTGGTCCGTCAACTACCAGCCCCTCAAGTACACAAAGATCCTGGCCCGGAAGGTGGGCTGCACGTACACAGAGACGGCCGACCTGGTCGACTGCCTGAGGCGCAAGAACTTCCGGGAGCTGGTGGACCAGGACATCCAGCCAGCCCGCTACCACATCGCCTTTGGCCCCGTGGTGGACGGAGACGTGGTGCCCGACGACCCTGAGATCCTCATGCAGCAGGTGAGGGTCTACCATGCAAAGAGAACATGGAGAACTTGTTGAAAGAGGTGTGACCTTTCCACAGAGTTAGGGTCTGGCTGTGACATTTAGCAGCTGGTGTGACCTCGCATCCTAAAACGCTGAAACACACTGCCTCGGTGGTAGATTCTATACCCATGGCTCACCACTTATTTGTGCTTGTTATCCCATACATACAAATCATTGTGTACTTGCAAATCCTTTCTTCACAGGTCGTGTGATCCGTTCAATCCACGACTGATTTTCTTTTTCAGCTTAAATGGAGTAATGTTAGGAGGTAAAACCATCCAGTATTACACAAGGACACAGGAAAGATAAGGAATAGTCCAAAAGATAAAAATAAAACGTTCTGATTTCATATTTAGTTATTTGTCATTCTTATTTTGCTATTCTTAATTGCTTTTACTTGTAAGCTCTATAAGTTCTTAATACTCACAATTAAAGTCAGTTTGTTTACATTTCTATGTCAGACTGCTGCTGCCCCTATTTTAAGTGATACTCCTTCACCTTGTCCCTGTTTTTTACTGAGCTTGTAGTTATTGTCCCACAACCAAAGCTATACATCAACACTATTGGCATAGATATCACATACAAGTAGGAAAAAAGCTGATTTGACTTTACAAATGCACAAAACAAAGTCGTGTTTAGCAGCCTTCATAATTGTACTGAATTCAGCCCTCAACATGTTCTTCCCCTCTTGCACCACCAGGGGGAGTTCCTCAACTATGACATCCTGATAGGAGTGAACCAAGGCGAGGGGCTGAAGTTTGTGGACGACAGTGAGGACAACGACGGCATCACAGCTGCTGCTTTCGACTACACCATCTCCAACTTCGTGGACAACCTCTACGGCTACCCTGAAGGTAGGGACTGTCGACATTGTACTCCATCCAGGCTGTAATGTACTCTCTCTGAGTGTACCACCTCTAAGATGACACCCCCATGTAATGAAACCTTCCTGGGGTCCACACACACACAACTCAAATGAAAGGATAAATTGCCAAAATAAAAATAACTTAAAGTTCTAAAAGTATCAGTTACAGAATAAATGATTAGCACAAAAGTGACCTAAACAATTTAATAAATACTGTACTATTCCCTGGTAGATGAGTGTGTTACACACTATGAAAAAAGGGGTTCATATTCTGTTATTCATCATTACAATATAGGCTTTCTAAAAAAATAAAAATACTAAAACATCGTCACAACTCCCATTGGAATCAAATGTTTTTAAACACAATATGTGGGCAAAGAATGAGGAAAAGAGATACAATGTGAGCCCGGCAAAGAGCACCAACCAAGACAGGCATGCTAAAGAGATTGCCTATCATCGAGATGATCTTTCACCGTGGTGGGTCTGTGCTTTGGCCTTTGAGACTCCGTGGGCACTAATGCCGTCTCTCATCATCCCCCAGGCAGCTCCCAATCACAGTGCTGTTGTTCTCCACAGATCAGCCTGCAAAGCCCTCACAGCGGGCCACAGTCAAAATGCAGACGCATTTTGATAATGCAGTCACGCTTCCTCTCAAGTGCCTGTCACTCATTCTTCTCTACGAGAGGCGTATTTACGCTTTTGCCCTTTGTGTCACTATTTGACTCAGTTTTATCTATCACACATGCATACAAACACTCTTTACCTGTCATTCCAGTTCTTTGTACTTCTATGAAAATCTTCTATCCATGTCAACACTTTTCTCTCAACTTATCACAATTTTCTCTTTTCCCCCCTTCCCCTTGTTTTTCCTGTCCCTTTCCCTTCCCGCGTCTTATCCTCCAGGCAAAGACATCCTGAGGGAGACTATCAAATTCATGTACACAGACTGGGCAGACAGAGACAATGGCGATATGCGAAGGAAGACCCTCTTAGCGCTGTTCACAGACCACCAGTGGGTGGCGCCGGCAGTGGCCACCGCCAAACTCCACGCCGAGTTTCAGTCTCCGGTTTACTTTTACACATTTTACCACCACTGCCAGACGGAGACGCGCCCCGAATGGGCCGATGCCGCACATGGAGATGAGATACCGTACGTATTTGGCGTGCCCATGATCGGTGCTACGGATCTGTTCCCATGCAACTTCTCGAAGAACGACGTGATGCTGAGTGCCGTGGTCATGACTTACTGGACCAACTTCGCCAAGACTGGGTAGGTCTTTCTGATGATTTTGATTTCATAACGGTATATTAAAATGTCTCTTTTTGCGTTGTAGTGCAAATGCAGGATAGACTAGCTAGGGGTAGGGCCTCTTCAGTTGTAGAGTAGTGTCTTTCTTTCTTTATGTTTACTAACCAGATGTCAGTAGAGTTTCTAAAAGTGTCCTGAGTCTGAAAGGTTTTTTCAGATGTCAACACAATTATTACATACTTTGAACCAGATTGATTAAAATATTGACGATATGTCCCCTCTCTCCTCCACTAGGGACCCCAACCTGCCAGTCCCTCAGGACACCAAGTTCATTCACACAAAGCCCAACCGCTTTGAAGAGGTCATCTGGACCAAGTTCAACTCCAAGGACAAGCAGTACCTCCACATTGGCTTAAAGCCTCGTGTTAGGGACAACTACAGGGCCAACAAGGTGGCTTTCTGGCTGGAGTTAGTCCCCCATCTCCACAGTCTACATGAGGAGCTCTTCCCCACAACCACCCGTTCTCCGTCGGGTCCTGGCTCAGGCAGCCAGAGACCCTGGCCAAGAACACCGGGCCCTCGCACCACGCGTCACCCCTACCCTACCTTCCCCTCTGATCCGGAGCCTTATGGTTCGGAGCGTCCACGGCAGGAGCTTTTCCCCGGAGACACCCGGGACTATTCGACTGAGCTGAGTGTGACAGTCGCTGTGGGGGCGTCACTGCTCTTCCTCAACATCCTGGCCTTTGCCGCACTTTACTACAAGCGTGACAAGCGGCACGAGATGCGACGACACCGGCTGTCTCCCCAACGGGGCGGGCCAGCCAATGATCTGGCTCACAGCCAGGAGGAGGAGATCATGTCGCTGCAGATGAAGCACTCGGAGCACGACCCTCACCACGACATGGAGCCTCTCCGGCCCCACGACATCCTACGACCCGCCTGCCCGCCCGACTACACGCTGGCGCTGCGCCGTGCCCCCGACGACGTGCCGCTGATGACGCCTAACACCATCACCATGATCCCCAGTACCATCACTGGCATGCAGCCTCTTCATGCCTTCAACACGTTCCCCTCCACCGGCCACAACAACACCCTGCCCCATCCCCACTCCACCACCAGGGTATAGTAGGGACTAAGGACCAGAGATACTGGCTCGAGAAGGGAGGCCTCTGGATTTGGGCCTTTGTTCTGTTCTCTTATACTCTCTCTCCAAAAACAACTCCACCTCCTCCATCATGCTGTCAAACTTAGCAGCTCCACTGGTGGCGTGTGGAGAAGCAACTGAACTGCATGGCAGCAGATGATCAGTTAAGGGGTGACTCAGATCTCTCAAAGATACTTTCTTCAAAGGTCTGCTCTTTCTAGACTGAAGCCCCCTGACATTTGTCAGAAGGACGAATGCTTTTTTCGACCCATGCAGTTTCCATCATCTTCTTCTTTTCGCTCCCTGGTGTGTTATGTGCATATATTGTTCTCTTTTCTACATCTGTGTCTCCTTCCCTGCTTTGTTCCTCTCATTCGACATGTGGTTCTCTCCCTCTCCCTAGCGCTCCTTTGCTCTAAGGACTCACAAGCAGCTGAGCTGTAGGAGTGGGCATAGAGTACATACAGTAATCACATAGCTATGAAAACATTGATATCTGATACTTTCATTACTACCAGCATTCTTTGTGCCAAGTATGTACTACTGTGTTTGCATCGAGGGAGAAAAAAACTAAAGAAGATTCTCCAGTATTCCTATTTACTGTCAATGAACAGATGCTGTGTGTTCTCATGACAAAGTGCCAAACTGGCCCTTGATTGTGTTTTATTCTTTCTCACATCTTCTGTTCTCTTTTTTTTTTCAAGCATTTGTTTAATTGTTGTTTTTTTGTGGAAAGATCTTTTTGCTGAAAATATAGATATAGAGAAATGATATTATATATAGTTATATATAAATGTGTACAAAGGAGAAAGTATATAAATGGGTTTTCTCAGTGGGGATCTATGCATGAATTATTTTTAAAGAGGATGACGGGGGCGGGGGGGCGGGGAGGACACTGTATCTGTCAATGCACGTTTCCCAAATCTAATCAAATCATATCGGTCCACTCTGGATATCTTGTTTTATCTCACAGATCAAAAGCAACACAGAAGATCCTGTAGTATCCCTTCACGTCCAAACATTTATTATTAAAAAAAAAGAGTAATCGCCACAAATCTCATGAGCTGTTGAACAACTCTTCCAATCATGTTCTCCTATATGACGTTAGTTAGAGGGGTTTTCTCCCACAATGTGTGAAACCACGCTAACCATCCTACAGGAGCTACTTGTTCTTCCCATCTGTATGAAGACGATCGTTTTTTAGGGTACCAAATCTGTCGTTGTAGCTTGCCTGTACAGAATTATTTTTGTATTTCAGTAAGGGTGAGAAACAAAACAGAAACAGGCAGCCTTTGCTCTTTAGCGTACACCGTCCTCCTGTCTGCACCCCTATTTCCAGCACATGCATATTCTGTTTCATTTGTGCCTGTTGTCAGAACTGTTTAACATGGGCGTCAGTGGGCCCTAATTAAACAGCAATGACATAGAGAGGCAGACAGGCAGGATCCCCCCTGTGGTAAAAAAACGTAGAGCTCCGTCCTGCTGCGTACGCCAACATCCCGCTCCATATCTACAGCACTTACTCCCCTCCCACTGATTTCTTGCACCCATATTGCGGTGATCGCCCGCGACCGACTCCCTGCCGTGACCGCAAAACTCAGAAACACCTGACTTCACTGTGTCAGCTGCGTTCCACACAATTTCTGACCTCAGTTCAGCTCTCACATTCAAGGGTTAATTCACTAAGCGTGTGACTTTTTTTGTGTTGTAAATTAAACTTTAAGCACACTGAGGGTAACCGTGGCCTGCATCGCAGAGCTGCAAGATGAAAAAGGGGTTTGGATCTCCTAAACAGGGTAAAAGCAACACAGTGGACAGCTGCTGTCTCTGATTCTGCTCCTTTCTTTGGAGTAAGAGTGTGCAGGCCAACAGCGATTCCCCTCACCTCCTCCAATTCTCTGCTGGATCTCAAAAATGGGTCATCTCTGGTTAGTACAGTACGTTAATGAACTGTTGTTTGAGCCCACAGGAACACATGGTAGCCTACGTCTAGTATGGGAGAAGTCACTGGTGCTGTCTTTGCTTGTGCCCTAGCTTTAGCCTGTTTGTTTGTTTTCTATTTTATTACTGCCTACCAGGGTAGCGGGGAGGGCTGGAGAGGAGGAGATATACCTGGCTGCTCCTGTCAGAGATTTTGTAAGCCCGTTGAAAAGGAATTGTGCACAATGTAAAACACAAAACAACTGACTTGGGTGTGCTGCCCGTGGATAAATGCTGTGGAACAGATGATGGACAGCGAGGGGAAAGGTGCACGCTGCGGAAAATAAACTTCGGGAGGAAATAGGAAAAAGACTTAGCAGCCTTAAATGTAGAAATCACAGGAGGATGAACTAATCATTAGCAAATAAAGACATTCAAAGGCATGACCATCTTTCTACCCACAATGTTTGACAGGAGGATACCCTGCTCATCGTCCCATGGAGGGACTGATGGGTGTAATCAGACCCATATGAACCCTTTTCTACTCACTGCTGCAGATAATGAGGCAGTGAGTGGTTGTGAGGTTAACCTCACCACAACACAGCTACAATGACACCATCAGAGGTGAAAACAGCAACAAGGTCTTCAGTTTGTCTGTTTTCCCCTGTCTATTTTATAAGCTAACACTGGAGGGCAGCGTTGAGGCGGCTTCACTGCAGTCAACCCACTCTGAGGAATCTGGATGTGTGAAGAAAAGCGCCCAAACTGGACAGCAGGACAGACAGACACTCAACATCTGGAAGAAGATCAAAACTGTACATTTTTATGTGTAAGAATCAAACAGACAAAATATTTGTACATATTAAGTTTCTTGTTTGTTTTTTCTTTTTTTCTTTTTGAGTGAATGAATGAAATGCTTACTTTGTGACAACAAAAAGACAACAGGTGCAGTTTGCAAAAGAAAGGGCCACCAGCTTGAGGTTTCACATCGACTGCTTGCCGACATCCCTTTCATGCCATTCAAAAATGACCTTTCCCTTTACTTTGTGTCATGTCGCCCATTATCACGTGGGTATCCTGTAGCATCCTGATTCATTAGCAGGAAAGTCACTGTAGCAGAAATTCATCTCCACTGCAGCCCACACACGACAGAGGGCCCCAGACTCTGTAGTTAGTTTGAATATTACAATTTAAAAATATATATAGTTTAAGTCTTGTTTGTCTGAGGTTGTAGTAGAGGGGGTCAATTACTCTGCATTTTGTTATTCTCTTTTTGGTTTAAGCTTTAGCAAACTATTATTTAGGGATATGATCCAACTATTGTCCTGATGAATGTGTGAGGGATTTAACTTCAAAGTATTTATGGAGGCTAAGAGCACTGATAAAAGCAAACTAAACTAGGACCTGGCGTTTGAACAATGGTCAAGACACTAAACACAAAGACAGTTCAATGTTAGCTCACTTCACATGTAGCAGTGTTAACCTGTGGCCCCTAAACACGTGGGCCCACATGAGGGCTTTGATACCAAGATGCCTCACAGAGTAATGAGATCACACAGCTGGGCTGACCTTTTCCCTACACTCACTGTGTTGCATTGTGATCATGGAGGTTGTGTGGACCATTTGATGTAGCAGTGAACAGTTTCATCTTCATAACCGTGAAGAAAGGGAGGACATTTTAAGTAAATCTCAAAAAGGCCAGTGCACTTAGAGAGGTTGAATGTGTGTGTTTAGCGGTGGATCAGACTGGATGTATGTGGACACACCTAGACTCAACAAACTGCAGTCAGCCAAGCAAACCAAAATGACTTCATATGGCCCACGGTAAAGACAGTGACACACACACACACACACAACCTCCATTGCGGAGTTGCACCTGTTGTCTTGTTTTTACATTATTTGTTGAATTCAGAAACCCAAGACTTGAGATGAAGAAAAATGTTAAATAATGGAATTTAAAAAAAGATGATTATTAAAAAAAAGTATAGTAAAACTATATAAATAAATGAGGTGATGATATTTCTGTTTACTTTAGAAGTTATTATACACTGTATGCTGTGATTCTGATCTGGGAAACATTAAAGACATTCATAGCCAGTCTGCAGATTTGGTCTCTTTATTGAAATAGTAAAGTATACATGTTAACAATATATGGAATGAATGCTATTTTTTATTACGTAAATATGTAGAATCAGATACTTCACAGAAACAAAAGATTATAATTTCTGAGTAAAAGACATAGGCTATCATATATGATGCTTAACTTGATTAAAACCAACATTTTCCTGTTCACTTGTTGACAATACCACTTTTATATTGAATAGTCTTAAGTTATTAAAAAATGTAAACATGTGATATCAGATACTTATGTAACCCATTTAAAACGTAGTAGCCTAAGCATAAAGTCATTAAAAAGGTATTTCATTAAAAGATACACGTTTAAAATTGGTCAATGATATCATCCTTTAAAAATATAATAAATAAAAGTAGTAGGCCTATGACAAATTACAAGGTAGGCTACTGTTCTTTTAAGGATCGCAGCGTAGCAGGAGAAAAGAGAGGAAAACGAGCAAGAAGCAGATGAGACAAGCAGTGTAAATTATATTAAGTGATTCAAAGTTTATTTTAAAAGATACAAATACCATCCACACGCCGGGAAACCCAATAAACGGTATAGAACATTAACCAACGGTGTTTTGGTGAGTCAAACCTTTTCATATAAAAGTTTTGTAAGAGTGAATAATGTTAGCTTCTTTGTTAGCATTTCATGTTGTTGAGCTGTAAGGGAAGCTATGAACATGGCTTGCAAAGTCATGTATTTGTTATTTTGTTTGACTGAAACTACGTGGCTTTAATGTGTGTTTTACAAGGGGAAATATGTGTTATTGTGTATGAACAGGATAAATGAAACATTTAGAGGAGAGTAAAGCTGCCATTTTGAGCCTTGTTGTAAGCTGTATTGACAAAAGAGCTAAGTTTACAGTAGTTTTGAAAATGTAATTATATCATTTATATTGTTAGTTTATATTATATTTATATTCTTTCATGACCTGTCGTACAGGTCAGGTTTTTTTAACTGGATAAGAAAGTTGATCGATCGAGTTGTGCTGCGCAAGTGAGAGGAAAACACATACGCGCTCTGATACAAGATGGCGAGCCAGACCCACAGACTGCTTTGATCTTCGCGCCAGTGAGAGGACTTGCTGGTTTCTCAAGAGACAATAGGCGCGTTCACACCGCAGTACTTTTCCCACTGTGCACGAGCACAATTACGTAATTTCATTATTCTTAGTATCTTGGACTTAAAAACAGGTATTGGCATTGATAAAGACCAATACACTCTAGATTTCTTTTTTTATAACCAGTCATTCTCCTCATCCATTTTACCCAACCGACTAAGTAACTAGAATGTTGCGAGCAGTACTTAACATCAGCAAGAGTGTACATGTAACCAACAAGATCCTGTACGAGGGAATACCAAGGGTGAGCGGGAAAGTTGCAGCCAGGATAATGAGACTAGCAGGACATAGCCAGAGCCGTATAATAGCAGGGTTGCCAACTCTCACGCATCTGGCGTGTGACACACGCTTTCACTCTCAATCTCACGCTCTCACGCTGCCCAAACTATTCTCACGCCAAAAACAAGAATACGAAGACTAGAAACGGTTTTGAAAACTTTTGTCACGTAGTGATCGTCTTCTCAATAGAACATCTTTGATAATGTCTTCTGGCCAATCAGAATCACGATAACGGCGTGGTGTTGTTGCAGGAAGTCCCGACGGAGAATACTTTTGTGGTAGTACATCTCTATACATCGATACAACATTACGTGTTGATAGAAATCAACACGTAATGAAATAAGACCCCACGGTTTGATGATTGATAGGTGTGTGGGCTGTCTTTCATTTTGACACACAGAACAATGGGGG